CCCCCCCCCCCCCTCCAAAAATCTAATGGTTCGTTCCTAAGGTTTAATAATCGATGGATTAAATTTTGTGGTTGTTATATACTTATCAACATAGTCGGCAGTCGATTTATGAATAAAAGAAATACTCAATATATCGCGAAGAAAGGTACATTTTGTTAACAATAACATCATAGTTTTCTTCTTCTCTTGTGTTTTGTTTGCTCCTGAGCGGCCTGGTAATTACACGGCCAATCCCATCATCCAGAACGACCCGATTTGTATCAACAAAGCGTTGTATTTTCTGGCCAGGGTTGTGTCTCTTAGACCAACTGGCAAAATGGGGATCTGTATCTCAAGCGAAGGGAGCTACATTCTTGAACAGAATTGGTATGTAAGAAAACATTTGTGGTGGTTCTAAAAAAGAATTCGATATTTGTTGACAGTGAAACTGTTTGAAACATTGTAGTCACGCTAGCTCTCTCGATATAGAATAGTATTTCTTTTATTTTTCCCTAGTGATCCGATATTGATCCTGTAATATGTGCTTTTAGATAACAAACTGAATCAGTCCTAGAAAGGTCGATTGATATAGGAATTTTAGTATACTATCAAGTGCTAGCTGAATGTAAAAACACAAAAGCACGGCAGACAATAATGTTTGATGTGTCTGGGAGAAGAGATGACCTTGCAAAGACAAAAAACTGTAAAAACAACTCCATAAAAATGTCGGAATTTGTAGAAGACAACTATGGTTTACCTTTTAATGCAAAACCACAAACAATTTCCTAAATTTCAAGGTATAATTCAATTTTTTCAAGTCGAATACACAAGAAAAAGCTAACTTTAAAGTCAATCTTGATTAGACAATGACCTAATAAATGTAAATTACAATGAGGACAGTGCTTTTTTACTACTTTTTTTTGACATGCATCCCTCGAGTGAAACATTTAGAAATAAGTTGTCTTTTGATCACACAGCATATTTGAGTTCAATCCTACTTTTTTAGAGGGTTTGAAGCAGTAAAAAGCTCAGAAAACAAAAATCTGAATAAAGTCAAGTTTTCATGGTTCGAGTGTCTTCACTGTAAGTCCGTTTCTTGGAAAAGAAATTACAAAGAAAATCGAGGTGAATTATTACTACCATCCCTTCAACGTGGGATTAGTTTCGTCGGGAAAAAATATACTTCGGGAAATAAATATTTTGCTTTAGGTGGGAGAATTGGATAGATGAATACGATACAAGTGAATATCTATATTCATAATAGGCAACGGGAGCTCTTCTACTTTTTGAGTATAAATTTAACTTTGCATTTTGCGAAGAAAGTGTGTAATAAATGCACGAATAACGCAAACTGGAAAAATATACCAATGCGACTTATCGAAGTTAAGGGTGTATTTTGGGTCTGAGAATTGTAGAGGGAAGGAGAATATGTTCAGGTGGATATGAGAATGTTTATATCAGACACCCCACTTTTCAAACCGCGTCTGTTCATTGCGTTGCATTTGTCAACTTCCGCTATGTGTTTTGTTGCTCACCGCATGTTTTCCATAAAAAAGAAAAATCAGTGTAACTTATAATATTAATAACAAAATAAACTGTGTCGTGAGGACTTAAAACAGAAGATCCCGAGATGATTATGGTATTGTAGCAAGCAATTTCCTGAATTAAGGTTAGACCAGGGCCCGGTTGTACGAAGGGTGAATAGCGCTATCCGGCGGATAAATCCTTATCCATTGAATAAGTCGATACTGTTATCCAACAAATATATCCACTGGATAAGATTTATCCGTCGCATAGCGCTATTTCATCCTTGGCAGTGATATTCTTCCACTCGTCCTATCCCAAACTTTGGAGAAAACATGTGAGGTGTACATGAAGGACATTCCACAAGGTTAACTTTGGAACACGTTTGGCAGAATATTTGCATAGACATAATGATATTACAGGTGCAATTGTTATGCAAATATTCTCCCGATCTTGACAGTAGTGTAGAACAACCGAGAGCTGTTGCTGTCGACCGACGAGGTGAGCTCTTTAGGTATACCTCACTTTAAAAAATTTATTCTCCAAAGTTTGGATAGGACGAGCTGTAGAAATTTCACTACCATCAAGATAAAGCTCTGATCTATTGATGTAGGAAGTTTCAAGAAAAAACTTGGAACCGTTTTGAAGAAAACTGCGAAAATGTGATTTATAGTGAAACTCTCATATTTGAGGTTTACAACGACAATTAGAAAAAAACTTTTTATGCAATGACTTTTTAAGATTTGATGCTGATCTTTCACAAAGCTTATCCGCAATACTCGGAAATGGATATGTGAAAAATTCAAGGCAATTCATTCAATGGTAATGTTTTTACAGCGCGATATTTTATATGCTTCAAATTTTCAATCGAATTTTCAAGCGGCCTTATGACTTCTTTTTTCTGCCCGCTAGACTTTCCATCCAAATTAACACACAGGCTGCATTGGTACTAGATGATAAGATTCTGAAAATATCAGAAAAATCGTACATGAGGATGAGGAGAAAAAAGCTAAAAAACTAAAAATAGCACTGTTTGATTTTCGGCCGTAATAATAGGCTAAACTCTTAAAAATAAAATAAAATAAAATAGTAAATAGTAAGACGAAACTTTGGTTATTAAACCTTGATAATGTAGTCAAGATGACTCTGAAACGTCGGATTTTGGCGTTAATTTTCATTATAAGTACATTTTCAAAATCTGTCTTACTTAAAATAAAATACACTGTTAAAATCTAGGACAACCAAAGCACATTATATGAAAATTCCAGTTAAATTGACGAGCGAGAATAAAATTGTCCAAAATTCGCTCTGAATTAGTTTGRTTCCACTTTACAAGTGCGGACACTCAAACCATGAACACTTCAAGCTTTTTTTGACATTTTTCCATAACTATCCAATCACAGCTCTCTGTAGAAACAAATAAATCAAACAATTTTAGGCAACTAACTCTCTGAAAAGTCGAGACAAACTATCAATGAAGTTTGGAACCGAGTTAGGAACCGAGTGATCGAGTTAGGAACCGAGTGATCGAGTTAGGAACCGGAGTAAGGAACTGGAGTTAGGAATTCGCGGGGAAGCTAAACAAGGAACTGAAGAAAGTGGCGAATCACATCAAAATTCATGCTTAACTTTGTAGTACTAAATGTTATTTTTGCCACACACACACACA